TGCTTAACAGTGTGGTTGAGGTTCTGGAGAAACATGGTCTACAGAAGCCCATCTCGTATGTGAAAAACAGCCAGAACAATGACGAGGAAGCCCACCAGCTAATGGTCAAACTGTGTCGTCACACTGGCCGCAAGTATGAGCTTTGAAACGTACACATGTATGAATAGACACATAGAAATAAATGCCACAAACATGCTGAACGTTTGTGTGTGTCCAGAAACCCTCCAGTGAGTGAGAATATGTGGAGAGTTCTACTACAGGACCTGCTGGATATGCAGCAGAACGTTTACACTTGCCTAAAACCAGAGACGTGCCATCAGGTAAAACACTTCAGTAATATTGGGAAAATCAGTGTTGGCAAGGTGCATCCAGTATTCACTCTGATTTTAATTGGGATTCTAATTTTAGCTAGAGACAGGTGGATCTCACTGAGGAACCAAAGAGACTTTTTATATTTATTTATTTCACTCCAGTTGAGTTCATAATTTTCAAAACTGACATCAGGCTGTACTGTGGAAAACTTGAAATTAGCAAGTGTGATCACGATCTCATAACAAAAACTTTTTGGCAAAGAATGTTCACTTCAGCTGGCTAATGGGACGAACGCTTGTTTAGAGCAGTTCCTCATTAGCGTTATCTTGTTGTCCATTATTTATATACAGTTTCATGCAAAACACGCATTATCCATAGATTGTTAGGACTTGTACTAACATTAAACGTGTAATTAAATGTGTTAATGTGCTTGCATTTTCATTTTTTACCTTCGGTGACACTGTGGTCTATAATTCACACATTAAGCTGCATGCTACCGCTCTCAGGGAGAGTTCAGATAAAATACTAGTGTGCTACAATGTTACAGCTTTTGTTTGGTTAAACGCTGCCTCTCCCTGCATAATATCTCTCCTCCTCCCTGACCACTGCAGGTTTTTGTCGAGTCCCTGCTGTGCTCCAGCCGAGTGGAGAACATACGCCTGGCAGGACAGCTCATGCACTGCTCCAAGGTACATTACATAAGACGCTCCTTCGCAGAATTACACTCCAGCTTCACCCTGGGTTGTCCGAATATTAAACTGCTTATTAATTAAATTAATTTCGCTGTCTCACTAATCTCCACATTTCGTATTAATGTTTCCAGGTTAGTCAGGATGTTCCTGTCAGCTTGTCCTTTCGGGGTAAAGGTTATGCTCTGAAGGTGGCCTATGACAACAGCGTGGAATTAGTGCTGGCTGCTGCCAGGGAGTACTTCAACTCGTCCAAATTGCTAACAGACCCCTGCATGGGGCTGGCCAGGTGAGCAGGAAAAGAGAGAGTATTTCCTTTCCCCAGTTCTTTATCTTTAAGGTATTACGGTAAATTTATTTCAAAACTTGTACAGTAACTACCAAAAAGAAGAAGTGTTTATTTGCTTGTGATATGTGAGACACAATGTTTGCTTCTGTGGAGGTAGGTGAATGTTATTGCACTTCTATGGCACTTATGACCAGGAACAAAATAATGGTGTCTCATTATAATTTTTCACCTACTACATGAACTGTATACACAGTGCCATGAGTTTTTGTCCCCTAATGATTTCTTAGGTTTTAGCTTATTTGTCACTCTTGCACGCTTTGGATCCTCAAACAAGTAAAATTAGACAAATATAACTCGAGTAAATAGAAGATGCATTTAAATGATGATTTCATGTGTAGGGAAAAAAGATATACGAAAACAACCAGGGAAATTAGCATTTTCTCAATTAATAAATAATTCAAATTATCCTTTAAAAAAGCAGTTTTTATTTAAACCGGCTATATTTCTCCAATATTAAAACTGATTGATGATCTCAAATGTTTAAGTGCAAAAACCTAATAAATTAGGAAGGGCCCAATACTTTTTTACAGCAGTGTATGTAAGTGCATGTGTGTGTGTTGCTGGCCTCTGATCTCAGAGGGGGGCCGGTGGGTGTCTAACCTTGCCGTCTGTTCCTAGTGGGGAATTGGGACAGTAATTGGGTCGTCATTTATTTGTGGGAACTAATACAAAGACCCCCCTCCACACGTTTGGACATCACCATCAATTGTAACACTTCCACTGTTTGTGCATGTAAATCTGTGCACGTGTGCGTTATTTGGGTGAGGGTGTTGGATAAAACACGGTGTGTTAAATGTCTGTGGTGCTTTGAAATTAATAGTCCACACATACTGGCTGCCCACCAACTAATAGTCAGACTGTGTCCTTTAGATTAAAATAACTGACACAGACACACATTTTACCCTGTGTGCTAAATAAGACACACACTAGGACAGTTAAACAAACTACACCTGACTTTGCCCTAAACAAGTGTGGTCGGTAGCAACAGGGAGAAGGACAAAGAGACTCGACTTAAAATAACATGGGGATCCTCTGAAACCGATAAAATCTTTGCATCATAATTTTCTGGGAATAAACACACAGAAAGATAAAGAAAGAAAAGAACAAACATGATAAAACAGATTAATACATGAATGAATTTACATACATATAAAATAAATATTTGTAAATATGCAAAATATAAAAAAAAGGGTATCCTTTGCAGTGATAAAACAACAAAGAAATTTAGCTGCTAGCATTGACAGAGCAATTAGCAGTTTAGGAGGGCGCAGTCACCATGGTAACTTGAGCCGATCAGGGTGCAGACGGCTAAGTGATGCAGTTTTTCGGACAACTTTTACGAAGGAGACCCCGGGTCTATAGACTGAATTAGTTTTTTTTTTTAAATCTTCTTTATTTCAGTTTTATTTATATATATTTTATTTATATAGCACTAAACCACAGCGATAGCCACCTCAGAGTGCTTTATATTTGTAAGGTAAAGACTCAAGAATAATTGAGAGAAAACCCCAACAATTAGACAGCCCCTTGTAAGCAAGCACTTGGCGAAAGTGGGGAGGAAAAACTCACTTTTAACACAAAGAAATGGGGAAGGTCAGGGTAAAGGGAGGGAGACAGGACAAAGTAGTGTGGAAGAATAATATTAACTAATGATTAAACAGAGAATGGTGTCTGAACACATAGGGACTGTAAAAAGGTGAATGAATTGGATATTACGTAATTGCAGGAAAGCCGTCCTACATATTTGTTTAATATGTACATTGAAAGGCATATCCATCCAGAGTAAATATCTGGTTAGACACCATGTTAGGGCCGAGTACAATATTTCCACTAAGTGACCATCATAGTGACCCGAAAGCTTTTTAATTGTCAGAGGTTAGCATTAATATTTGCTGTTGAGGCTGTGTAATCTAAATTCAAAGTAAGTGAAACATTTCTTAACACTAACCTGCCACATTTAAAACTGGTTTGATCTAAATTTGATCAGTATGGTCGGTCAGCTTCGCTTGAGGTAGACACTTTTTGATCTTCTTCAAAAGAAATGTGAGCCTTCATGAGCAGGACTCACTGTGGTCATCTGAGGGTATCCCTGCTCCTTTTTTTGCAGGGCTTATGAAAGCTATTCAGCTGTTATTAGCTGGCTTAATTTGGAAAAATCATCCTTTACTCAGAGTGCTTTTAATGCCTTTGAACACTGTTTACTTTTATTACTATCATTTTCTGTTTCCTTACACGGACTTTGATGACATTTCTAATATGTGCCTCACAGCAAGAAGATTAGGGTTTGAATCCAGCAGCCGGCTGGAGGTTTTTATCTGTGAGGGACGTGTTCTCTGGGGTCATTGTGGGTTCTCTCCAGATCCATGGTCCAAAGACATGTGCATTAGGTTAATTGGTGATTCCAGATTGTCCATAGGTGTGAATGTGAGTGTAAAGGGCTCTGTGACAGACCGGCATCTTATCCTGCTAAGCAGCAGAAAATGCATGGACAGACTAAAAAGAAAAACAAGTGTTAGTGTTGGGTGTTAAAAGTAAAGAAATCCTTTATTTTGGAAAGGATTTCTTGCTTCTTTTGCTTTTTTTAGCCCGTATATTACCAGCTTCAATGGTCTGAGCAGTTACCATACTGCTTTTGTCTTTTAAAAGTGAAAGCTTTTTCCTTATCATCCACTAATTATATTAGTTTAGCATTTTTGAAAGATTCTCTTTAATATTTCCATTTCCTGTGTATTTTTGCTTCCCATCTCCTGTTTAATAAATGTGTTTATTTTTCTATGTTGTTCTTTTTCCCAATCTGCTTATAAGAGGTAAGCAGATTGGGAGGTAACTTCTAATAGCTTGTTGAATTTTTTTCCTAAATCTTATATCCTCTAATTAGGAATTCTTTAATTTCCATAAATCATTACATCTCCTTGTTTTCATATTACTGGAGCATGATCCTTAAGTCGTACTACTTAAATAAGCTTAATTTAATGGAGTTATGTTGCAATTTTTATGAAAACATGCAGCTCAAAATGCTTCATATTGCAAGAATAAAACAACACAAAGAAGAAAGTGTATTTGTATGATCCCACAACTGTTATCATGACTGTGCCAAGAAGGACTGGCTGTGAAAAGAAAGAAAAGAAGGAATGGCAGTTGAAACCTGTCACGTTATAGTCTGGATACATCAAAGTCCCCAGTCTGCAGACACTTTTGTGTTTTGTCGTTGTATGTTCCTCTCAGCCATAAAAGACTGATGAGGTATTGTTGTCATCCTGCCGGGCGGGCGGACAGCGTGGACACCCGAGTTTTTAAATTGGATAACTCGAGACCAATGCGACATAGGATTTTGAAATTCTACTCCATCTACTAAAAATCTCAAACCATTTTGAGTCCCGGTAACCTTGACATCAAGGTCAGATGAAGATGTAATGTTTTCTGAAAAATCTTGTGAATGTAATAACTGAAGAATGTAGTCACCTAGGTTTTTTTTTTTTTTTAAATTGATGGCATACGTTTAGCTACTAAAAAACTGAAACAAGTTTGAATCTCAGTGATCTTGAACTCAGGGTCGAGGTTAGAGGTCAACTTTTCTGAAAATCAATTAGAATTTTCAAATGTATACCATGGGTGCATCTAGGCTAGTGGATCTAATGTATCTAGGTAAAACTGTACTGGTGGCTGCCAGTGTTTTCTCCCGTAGCTCAGGAGGTAGAGCAGGTCATCTACTAATTGGGAGATTGGTGGCTGCTCTAGTCTGAATGCCATATGTGTTAGATAGAAATCACCTATGTAGAAGAAAGGCGTAGCAAAAATGCTTGTGTGAGTGGATGTGAATGTATGAACGGTATGGATGTATAAATCACTTTTAATGGTTGCTACTCATGCAGAGGGTATAGGAGCCAGTCCATTCACCATTTACCTTTTCTTTCCCCTCAACCCTTAAGCGGGGATTGCTGCCTCTCCATTAGCCTGGCTCTGCTGGTTCTGCTGGAAGCCTCTTCCTGTTAAAAGGAAGTTCTGCCTTCACCAAGTGCTGCTGATAGGAAATTGGCTGATTGTCTCTTTAAGATTGTGGGGTCTTTACCCTACAATTCGTAGGGTCTTGATGACCCTGACTTGATGCTTAAGTTGTTAAAACATCTTAGTGAGAAAAAAGAAAGGAGGGAGATAAGGCAGATGTAGGCCCAGCAGGGATGATTTTGATCCTTTTTGTCGCTGGTTGTTTCTGTCGTACGTGTGAAAGCTCCTCTCAGAAGTCCTCGTGTGAGTAGGAAAGTACCTGAGTGTATATGACACAGAAATGTTGGAAGATAAATGCGGGGAAAAAAACAGGACGTCAGTACACTTCTGTTTGATGTTCTGGTGCAAATGAAGGGCAAGGTCTTTGCTGCTGTGCTCCATTGATAACTTCTTTGCAAACTTGTGTTCTCGTGTGTCTGCTTAGCACAGAGTAGTTAATCTGGAAATCACAGTGTACATGCTGCAAAGCACATCATGACTCTTGAAAGTGAAATAGATAATTTTTTTTTTTTCCACTGATGTCTTTTCTAAGGCTGTGTCAATACACAAACACACTCACACACGCTCGCCTGGAGATACTTCACAGCACGAGTACATAATCAGTATGCCCTCTTTCTGTCTCTCATTCGCCCATCCACAGCCCTTTCCTCCGCTCTCATCCTTGCCAGGACAAACCTCTTGTTCCTGGCAAGAACAGCAGCCATGCTCAAAGAGTGGGGAGCTGCGTGTGGAGTGCTTTCCAGAGTGTGTGTGTGTGTGTGCGCGCGTGTGTGTGTACTCTACTCAACAGTTTTGAGTCACTGTGTTTTTAAGAAGTAGAGGTTGCATTTCTCATTACACTTACAAGGATTATGAGACATTTTTGTCAGTTGTCTTTGTTTACCCACTGCGAGAGTAAAACAGTCTTGAGCGAACACACATCCCAAGGACAAGTTCCCTCATCTCCGCTCAACTGGTGCTGACGTCAGAGCTCTTAAGCTGCTATTTTATCTGGGATTTGTGCTGTTTGCAAATTAATCATTTTGCTTTTTCCTTCCTCTTCCACTCGCTGGTATATTTTACTTTGCTCTGTATACACTTGCAGGCACACACAATTTGCGCATTCAGTGTTATATATGCGGCATGATGTGCTACATAATCCTATTAAGCGGTAATGAGTGCCGCTCGCATTTCAAGAGAAAACTGTTCTATTGTAGATCTGTCAAATTAGTCTAGACTTTGTATTTAAATCCATTTGAAAAGTGTCGCCATGTTTCTCATCATGATGTTGAAACTTTACAGACTTCAGGCTAGATAATCGCTTTTTTTTCTACAGCTCTGAAATGTGTACCAATTTAAGTAAAGCCCCTTTAGTTCTTCCCACTCATTTTGTCAAGCGGTAAGTTATGTTTTGCAACAGTTTTCTGCAATGCTGTTAGAGTAAATGGACCGAAGGTAACTACATCACTTTTTAGGTGCATCAGCTTGCACAGATTTAAGCAATTTTCACTTTCTGTGCTTAGAAAAGTTAAGTTTCTGTACTCCTAAAATTCAGACTTCCTCTTTGCGTCACAAGGTCATATGATTGGGTAGCAATGGAACAGATTATTAGTCATTCCCTGCTGTTTTAACTGCTTATTATCTTGATCAGGGGGTGTCTCCAGCTGATCACAGACTGTCCTCCGTCCATCCAAGAGGAACTGGACCTCATCAACGCCCTCAGCCAGCTGGAAGACTTCAACGTCAGCATTCTGCCCCTGCAAGGTAGCATGAAGCGTTTGTCTGTCTGGGAAGCTGGGAGATTTCAAATGTGCGCTTTTGTGTGTATCTGAATGTGTTGTCGGCGCGTTTGAAATGGTTAGACGTTCAAATGTTCTCGTAGACGATTAAAGCACACCGTTCCCCACCTCCATCGCCTCGGCTCACTGTCCAGCCTGTCTCCCTCCCTGCTGTCACGTTCTCCGTTCCTCCATATGTTGCTGTTTCTTGTCACTGTATCAAAATATATTGTTATTTATGGATCGACTGTTGAGCAAACAACATCTGGCCAATGGCCTAATTAGGAATGAAGTGTTTAGTTTGGACGTGTGCGCTCTGTCTTACACACAGAGACATTGCACACACACTCTGGGACACAATGTTTTATCCTTCAGCTGTAAAGATGACCAATCTATATTCACCTCCATGTTCTTGCTTTCGTTCTTTTCTGGCACCCTACATCTGTGGTTCCAGGCTTTGCCTCCCTTTTAAAGAAAACTGTGGCGCCAAAATAAACCAGCTTGGCCCCTCATCGCCTCACCTTTACAGCGAGGTGTTGTTTGCCCCCAAGGCCTCCGTGCTCTCCCTCCTTTGCCCCCATCAAATCGAGCTGCCAGTATAAAACCACTGTGTCAGAGAGAGCCATAAATTGCACGGTCTCTCATTCCTTCCCTCCCTCTCTTGCTCTCCGTCCCTCTCACCTTCTTTCCTCTCTTTACATTCATCACTTACCTCTGGGGTTTTCTCTCTTTTTCCTAGTTCCCTACTTCCTTCTCTTCTTCTTTTCACTGCTTGCTTAACGTGAAGGGCAGAGGGCAGAGCTTTGGAAGAATATGAAAGAAGAACAGTGAAAAAAGAATGAAGCACTGCAATGGAGAAAAACAGAAACTGTTGCAAAAGAAAATGTGAAAATCTTGTTTTATTGTGACACATGCATGCATTAATTATTATGTCATGGGTCAATATCAGTGCTTAGGGGAACATTGAATTCATGGCTTTGAATCAAGGTCATACTGAAAAGAACAGTTTCGTTTTCTCCTCAAAGTAATAGCTCTACTCTAAGTTCCCGTTCTCACAGATAAACATGCAAAAATATGAAGTCGGAAGGATTTGAACATAGGTAATCCATCTTAGGCTGTCCCCTGCAGCCCTCCTATAGAGCCTAAGGCGATGTTTCATATAAACCACCCTACCCACAATTCCCTCTAGGCCTCGCCCAAAGTCATTCAAAGCCATAAAAATCCTCAGCAGGGTGCACAGAGGCCTGCAGAGGCTCTAAAGATGGCATTTCTCAGGGTTTCAATACAACTTTAAAGAAAAATGGAAATGCATCTGAAAATGTTTGAGGTGGGGTTTTATGAAAAGCACAAACTCCCTACTGTCCTGCGGATGATATATGCTGCAGGTTCAGTTCAGCAGGATCAGTGAAAAATGATGTCAAACAATATGCAATGAGTATGAAATATCTAAGACTGGAGACTGATTGTGAAAGATCAAAGGCTTGCCTTGTTGTAGTTTCTAAATCTCTCGCATATTGGAAGAATGGAGTAATGCTAACGCTGTAGAGTACTACATGGAGATCCCAAACGTAAACTGTAAATAATATACCTGGAGTATGAAGTTTGTTTTCGTTTCTGTGCCACATGCAGCCCAATTGGATCTCGAGTGATATTACAGCATTAATAAAAAAAAAATGTTCACTTTCTTTTAGTGTAAAGAAGTACATTCTGGAAGCGTTCACACTTAATGAACCATCCATTTACAAAATGGATGATGAACAGCCTCGGATATCTTAAGAAAAAATAAGAGCAATTTCCACAATATGTCTCAGTTTTTACACAGTCATACTCATTGGAATGAAATACTACTGTCATAAATCAAAGAAATGTGTCTGCACGGCTCCGCGGCTTAACCATCTACTCTACACAGTGGTGTGGCACACAGGTAGTGTCTGTGACAGGGACAAGGCTGTGACACTTAATGATTCAGACACAGGACTCTCATTCATTTAAAGGACGTATTTGGGATATATTCTAATTATTCTTATGACTTACAACACAATGCTTCCTAATGTACA